GGCGTTCAGCCAAAAACATAGTAATACGTCTAATATATGATAGTATCAAGTAGTTTCAGTCAAATATGCAACTTAATAGTTGCTATGGGATGGACCAAGTCAAGATACCCAATCGTGCACGCCCCTCACGCTCGTCATCTAGCGCGTGCGTCACCTCAAAGTAGTACAACGATGTAAAATCCGGGGTTTCATACCCTCAGGACAACATTTACAATCATTACTTACCTCAAGCCGGACTGAACTCTAACCCGCATTGCCTTTGCCTCTCGACTTGGCCTCCAAATTCTCCAAATCTAACCAAAATCAGTATCACATCATTAATACACGCTAACGGAACAAAGCCCAAGCGAAAATAATCAAATTAACTCAAAAATCCCAAAATTGGCCAAACCCGACCGCCGGGCCCATATCTCGAAATCCGATAAAAATCACAACACTAGAATCCTCATCCCTTCACGAGTCTATACATACCAAAATCACCAAAATCGGACCTCAAATGACCCCTCAAATCCCCAATCAAAGCTCTCCAAAACTCAAGGCTTGGCCTTCAATTTCACCCCAAATTCCCCATTAGTTTCATGATTAAGTAGTGGATAATTCATCACAAACACCAAATACAAAGTCCAAGCAACTTACCTCACTGAAACCCCTCAATTCCTCCTTGAATTGTGCTTGGAGCTCCAAAATTGCACAAAAATGGTGAAAGAATGGTTGAACATCGTGAAGGGGCCTTTTTATACTTTATGCCCAGCACTTTCGCACTTGCGGTCCATTTCACGAACTCGCAGGCCACTTATACGGTCAAAATAACTGCATCTGCGGTTTTAACTTAAGTCAACAGCTTCCGCACCAGTGACAAACTCTGCATCTACGGTTGCTTCCCGTTTCTGCGATCATCGCACATGCGGTCCCCACTTCGCAGGTGCGGAAACAACAGAAGCAGCAAAATCTGCAGCAACAATTCAAGACCAAACCTTCCGTCAACCATCCAAATCTATCTCGAGGCCCTCGGGACCTCAACCAAACATGACATCAAGTCACATATAACCATTCAAACTTATTCCAATCTTCGAAACACTCAAAACAACATCAAAACATCAAATCACCCTCGGATTCAAGCCTAAGGATTCCAAAACTTTCGAATTCCGCAAACAATGTAAAAACCTACCAAACCTCATCCAAATGACCTGAAATTTTGCACACACGTCACAAATGACACAATGGACCTACTCCAATTTTCGAAATTCCAATTTGACCCTGATATCAAGATTTCCACTACCGACCGGAAAATGCCAAATTTCCAATTCCTCCAATTCAAGCCTAAATCCACCACGGACCTTCAAAATACATTTCGAACATGCTCCCAAGTCCCAAATCACCTAAAGAAGCTATCCGAACCATAAAAACCCAATTCTGAGACCATTTACCCACAAGTCAACTTCCGGTTGACTTTTCCAACTAAATAACCAACTTAAGAGACTAAGTGTCTCATTCCACCCTAAGACCACTCCGAACACAACACCACCAACACAATATGATGAAATACAGCCGAACAACACACAAGGAAGCAGAAATATGGGAAACGGAGCGGTAACTCATGAAACGACCGGTCGGGTCGTTATATCCTCCCCCTCTTAAACAAACATTCGTCCTCGAACGAGTCAAGAAACATACCTGAAGCCTCAAATAGGTATGGATATTTGTTTCGCATCTCCTGCTCATTCTCCCAGGTAGCCTACTCCATGAGCTGACCTCTCCACTGCACTTTCACTAAAGTTTACTCCTTTGATCTCAACTTTCGGACCTACCGCTCCAAAATAGTCACTGGCTCCACATATAAGTCAAATCAGTGTCTAACTGAACCGTGCTGAAATCCAAAACATGACACGGATCGCCAATATACTTCCAGAGCAAAGAAACATGAAATAGCAAATGCACGCTAGACAATCTAGGTGCCAAAGCAAGCTTATAAGCTACCTCTACAATCATCTGAAGCACCTCAAAAGGCCCAATGAACCGAGTTTGAAAAGTTGTACGCAACTCAACCTGAGTACCCAACTCTCTTTACACAGCTCTCCAAAATTGCGATGTAAACTGAGTACCTCTGTCTGAAATGATGGAAACTGGAACACCATGTAGGCAAACAATCTCTCGGATATAAATCTCAGCTAACCGCTCTGAAGAATAGGTAGTACACATAAGAATGCAATGTGCGGACTTGGTCAGCCGATCCACAATCATCCATATGGCATCGAGCTTCCTCAAAGTCCGTGGGAGTCCAACTATGAAATCCATGTTGATCTGCTCTCACTTCCACTCTGGAATATCTAACCGTTGAAGCAATCCACCCATCCTCTGATGCTCGTATTTCACCAACTGACAATTGAGGCACCGAGCTACAAATCCCACTATATCCTTCTTTATTCTCCTCCACCAATAATGTGTCTCAAATCCTGATACATCTTCGCGTCACCTGGATGGATGGAATACCGCGAGCTGTGGGCCTCCTCCAGAATAAACTCCCGAAGCCCGTCTACATGAGGCACACATATGCAATACCCCATCATCACCAATAATCACATATCTTGCATCATCGTGGTGAACTATGTCCTTAAGTACAAGCAAATGAGGATCATCATACTGTTGCTCTCTGATGCGATCAAACAATGAAGACCGAGAAACCACAAAAGCTAAGACCCGACTGGGCTCCGAAATATCCAACCTCACAAACCGATTGGCCAATGCCTGAACATCAACTGCAAGAGGTCTCTCCCCAACAAGAATATATGCCAAATTGCCCATACTCACCGCCTTCCTACTCAAAGCATCGGCCACTATATTGGCCTTCCTCGGATGGTACAAGATAGTGATCCTTTAGTAGCTCCTAGCATATCTGTTGCCTCAAATTGAGATCCTTCTGCTTGAACAAGTGTTGGAGGCTACGATGATCAGTAAACACCTCACAAGACACACCATAGAGGTAATGCATCCAAATCTTCAACGCATGAACAATGGCAGCTAACTCTAGATCATGAACAGGGTAGTTCTTCTCATGGGGCTTCAACTGACGAGAAGCATAAGCAATCAGTCTACCCTCCTGCATCAACACACACCCAATACCAACTCTCGAAGCATCACAATACACTGTATATGAACCTGAAGCTGATGGCAAAACTAACATTGGAGTTATGGTCAAGGCAGTCTTTAGCTTCTGAAAGCTCGTCTCACACTCATCCGACCACATGAAAGGCATACCATTTTGAGTCAATTTGGTCAAGGGTGATACTATAGATGAATATCCCTGAACGAACCAACGGTAATAACCCGCCAAACCAAGAAACCTACGAATCTCTATGCCTGAGGATGGTCTGGGCCAACTCTGAACCGCCTCTATCTTCTTCGGATCAACCTGAATACCCTCACTAGAAATAAAGTGTTCCAAAAAAGCCACTAAATTGATCCAAAACTCACACTTGGAGAACATTGCATAAAACATCTCCTCCCTTAATCGCTGCAATACAACTCTCAAATGTTTGACGTGCTCCTCCTGACTACGCGAGTATACCAGAATAACATCAATGAATACAATCACAAACAAGTCAAGATAAGGCCGAAACATGTTGTTCATCAAATGCATAAATGTTGTTGGGGCATTGGTAACCCCAAAAGACATCACAAGTGTCACATCTCCTTTTTTACACCCCGAGAGGTATATGGGAGTTTATCTAATTTAAGTGACATTATTCGATATGGGATTATTTAATTAATTTCAAAGTCGTCACTTGGGATAGTTTATTTGGTGTCTCAAGTTACTGGTTTATTTTAAATCCCAAATCGAGGAAGTTTCGACTTTATTTAAAAGTCTGCGAACCAAAAATTCTAGATAAGGAATTCTTTAACCCAAGAGAAGGTGTTAGTCATTCCCGGGTTCCGTGATTCTAGCACGGTCGCTTAGTGATTTATACTTGGCTTAAATTGTTTAACTACTCATTTTTAGGACCTATGTGTATTTATCAATTTACCGCTTTTAATTACTTGATTTATTCGTAATTAAAGAATTGAGTTACGCATATGTATACTCATTTCCTTTGGCGCGTCAAAAATCATGTCATTCAAATGTGTCCACAATTAATAACCCTTTGTTTACTTTATAAAGAGAAGTTTGGTTGAAGTTGCGCGAACGCATCCCTCGAGTTACTTTTAGAATTAAATTTGCAATTATGTTACGCGAACGTATACATAATCACAATACTAGTCTAAATCGAGCCTAAAGTAAACTACAGTTATTTTATTTTTAATAGCAACATTTGTGAGGGCCATGGATGATTTAATTTATTTATTGCACACCTCAAATCTTTTTCTACAAGTGTGAGTTCTTGATCTAATCTTATGAGGGCCATGAATTATGAATTTTATTTGTGTATGACACACCTCAATTTATTTTAAAAGAAAGTATTCAACTATTAGTAATTCAATAGTTAAAAAATCAACGTCTTGTCAAATTCACATTTAAAGCACAAAAATCTATTTTTTTTTAAATCATTGAGAAGGCCCAGGTTGAGGAAGTTGTTGGCTAGTAAATCAGAAAGTTGGCACATTTGACTCCAATCGTTGCCTATACTTATTCACATATACTGGTTCAATATTCTCTTTAGAGACTACACATTGGGGAAATATATTAATTAAGATAGGCAAAACAGTATGCAACGTTGGATTGTTAATCTATTTCGAATTTCAATGGGTCAACTCTGAAGCCCAATGGCCTAGAGTGTCCAGACTGGTTTAGACCTCAACTGGGTCATTTTATCAATCAGGCCCAAAGTCAACTTTGGCTAAATAACACAACTAAAAAAAATAGAACATCATGCAATGAATTTACAGCCATGAAACTTGATATAACATGCTCAAAATACCTTTCTGCTTAAAATTGATTTCAAATAACAATCATCAACGCAAAATTGTTATCATCAAGCCACTAATTACTTCAATCTCATCATGAATTCGCATAAGCTCAACTGATTTTCAAAAATTCATGTTACGTTTATAGCATCTTGACACTAAACTGGCAGCTATTACAGAATATCTTTTAAAAAAAAAGAAACAATGTGAGAATTACTCTTGATCTACTACACCAGAAATTGATCATACAAGAGAAAAATATCAACTATTCTATTACAATTTCCACGCAATTGATAGCTAGTGAATACTTGCCCCTTTTGGATATGATTTATCCATCAAAAGCTTGATTCACCATAAGAAACCATCATTTCCAGCATGCTATCAGCAACAGAATCCCACTCTTTGGCCTACATCTTGCTGATTTGGCCAACTGGCGGCCAAATCTGCAGAATATAGCCATGTGACCAACAACAACACCCTTCAATATCCTCAGGTTAATATCACCTCATTCAGTAATATATGCAGAAAATAACTATAAAAGCTATATATATAAAGCTAAAGTTGAAACTGCAAACTTCAACTTATTCATGCAACTTACACATTCAGTTTTTTTTAAAGAAAAATGTAAATGCCAAAGTACCAAATAAGTTTTTATATATTCATGGACTAAACTTATGCTACATAGTCTTCACTTTAAAAGTCAAATAACTCCATTCTAAAGAGACTTTCAGCAGCACAATATTACAGATTTCATGATCAAATTCAACAGCCATTTATGCTAATATTAACATATGGATTATAGACATTCATCAACCCTAAGTTCAACAAAATCATGGTTTCCAAAACTAACATCAAAGTTCAGCCAACCAAAACAAGTTCCAAACACATATTTTGAACTCAAAATTAATTCTATTTAAGATGATCATTGTTACATACCTTGTAACTGAAAAATACAGCAGAGAAATGACCAAATAAAGGTCAGAAAACCAAGCTTTTGTAAGCTTAATAGCAGCAAAAACAGGCAGCAGAAACCAATGAAACTAAGCAGCCAAATAAATAGCAGTATCATAGCACTCCAACTCAAATCATCTTGCAACCAAAGAGCCCAAAATTTTAAAAGAGAAGAATTTTTTGAGTATTCTTTTAGGTTCTGCAAAATCTGATATGTGTTTTCAGAAATTTTGTGTAGAGAATGATGCTGAATGTGTCTGTGTGAGTGAGGGAATGTTTCCTTTTTATAGAGTGTAAAAAAAAGAGCATCAAAAAAGGCATATTCTAACCTAATATTTTGAGTTTTTCAAGATAGTACAGCATTTTTTGACAGCTCTATGTCCTTTTTTCTTATCCAATATCAGCATGTTGCTAAGGATAGGGACAACTGTCCTAAATACTAGAACCTTCTGATTTTGGCCTGAGTGAAAGTCCATTTTTAACCTTTGAATTACTGCCTATTTCAACTTTAACCTAAATTCTTTTAGTTCAATTAGGTCCCTAAGGTTTTTATTGATTTACACACTAAGGCAAATAGAAACAAATGGGCTAATATCAGTAATTGAATCAAAAGCAAACAACAAAGCTGACCTAAGCAAATTAAAACATAAACCTAACCTCTAAAATGAACCAAGATCATAAGAAAACTTCACAGTGCTCTTCAAATTATCATTTTTTAATGAGCATAGGAAGACGAGTTTAAACAAACAAAACAAAACAAATTGAATAAAACTGAACCTAAGCTAATTATGCATTAAAAAAACTATTTTAAAAATAAAATAAATTAGACTAAGCATGCAGTTTCAATATACTAGTAGATGGTTCAAAACAAACAAAAAGGAAATTAACAACTAACAACAACAAAATGAAGCTATTTCAGGATTTAAACTACACGAATCACTAATTGAAATTGGGTTAGTTAAACCCCCTAAGAAACTGATTTTAAACAAGTTCAAAGATCGAAATGGGGACGGCTCCTAAAAATGAACAACAAACAGATTTTTATACGATGAAATTTTAAACATGCTGACTAAACTAATCACCAGATGCAAATATAAACACACAAAATATTTCTGAAAGGAAAACAAAAACAAACCTAAAACATGCGACTAAACATAAAGAAAGGAGATGAAGAGGATTCTCAGAAAAGGAAAAGAGAACAGAAAGGCAAAGAGATTTACCAAATTTGTTTCCAAACGGACCAAACAAGGCTTGAACAGGCGAATCTTGACCAAACTTTGAAGCAAAAGGTGTGAATGAGCATTGAACTAACATTAACCGAACAGTCGGCTAATGAAAGTTTGGGGTTCAAATGCCCAAACTCTGACCAAGAAGAGAAGGGTGCAATAGCTTAGATTGGAAATTTGGGGAAATCGGCTGGGGTTTTCGGGGACTTGGTTGTAGTTTTGGGTTTATAGGAGTGTGAGGACTATGGGGTCTGATTTTGGGGTGATTTGGAGAAGTTAGGGTTTTTGGTATCGAAACATAGATTTGAGATTCGAGGTGTTTAAGAGTGATTCGAGGGGATTGGTCTGGAGAGTCATAAAGAGGAGACGAAGGGGAGTTAGGGATGTTGATTTGGGACCATTAGGAACACCGGAACCGCCGTGAGGCAATTTTCTGTGGCGGTTGGCGGTGGAGACGGTGGGGGAGTGAAGGCGGCTAGGGTTCTTTTAGTTTGGGTGGAAGAGATGAACTGAAGGGGGGATTGGACTTGGGGGGGGCTCTTAATTCGAAGAGTTATATATCAAATCAGAGATCAGTTTGGAGCCGTTGGATCAACGGAATCCAACGAATGTGATTGAAAGAGTAGAAAACGACGTCGTTTCAATTCATCAGAGGTGTACTGGGTAAAAGGGTTTCTGGGCCTGGGTTTGGGTAATTATTTGGACTGGTTTTGGCTTTAAAAAGGCCCAAGTTCCGAATTTAAACCCAATTAATTAAACTCCTTATTTCCTTTTCTTTTCTTTTTTCCTTCTTCTTTTTATAATTAGAAATCCTAAATTAAAAAACCTAAATTAATCTAAAAATGTGAAATTAAATTAATTACCTAATTACAAAAATTATAAAAATCACTTAATCCTAAATTAAAAGTGAAAAATCAATAATCTAAAAATAAAAAGGAAAAAATGTAAAAATGGGTCATTTTTGTGATTTTCATTTTTAATAAAGCAAATAATTAACTAATTAATCCTAAAAATATAAAAACAAACCTAAATGCAATGCATGATATTTTTTGGCATTTTTCATGATTTTTAGTAAAATTAAACGTGCACAGAAATGCAAACAATTAATAAAATTCTACAAAGATTCCTAAAAATGGCAAATAATTAAGAAAAAATCTATTTTCTTGGGATTTTATAGGAGTAGTTCGTATAGGGCAAAAATCACATGCTCACAGCTGCCCCTCTTTGCTCGAAAACACGAAGGGTTTTCGGGCAAAGATAAAATGAGCAATTACGTGGGATTTTTGCCCATTTGAAACTCCATGAGAAGCATCTTTTGAAACAATCTGACCGAACATTGCTTCGGAGGTTGCCTACATATCTTTGGCTATAAAAGAATCAGGTCAATATAGTTCTGGAAGTTATTGTAGCTGGGACTACTGGTAAACTGTGATTTCACTGTTGTTTTTGCTTGCTGAGCTCCTTATTACACCAAGATGAAAAATAAAAAGCTAAACTAGCTAAGCCTATCAACTACGAGTTACAAGATTCCTATCTATAAACCTTCTAAAGCTTGATCTTGAGTCTTGGAGTGTTCTTCCTATAGACTCTGATCTGAATCTTGATGCTCATCAACTGCAACTGTTGGTTCATTCTTCTTCAACTTTTCGGATCAAGGCGGTACATGCAAAGCTTATGACTTCAATCGTATCTTGGGCAGTCCGCATCTTTTCTTTGCTTTTATACTTAGAGTTAAACTTCTTTTCTTGTTTCTTCTTTCCTTTTATTTGGGTTGAAACTTCTTCTTTTAGTTATCTCAAACCTTGCACCTAACGGTGAAAACCTGTTAAGGCACCAAAGCAAATAAACGAATAAAATTTTCTGCGTAAGTTTTCACTAGGAAAGTTTCGTGAGTTATTGTAACAAAATCTAAACTATTTCTTTATTGAAAGCAATAAAAGTCAGGATGGTGTACCCCTGGGAAAAAGAGATTAGGGAGTGGAGCCCTATACTTATAATGAAATCAACTAGGGAGTGGAGACCTTATGTTGGAAAAGAGACTAGGGAATGGGGACCCTATATCTATACTAAAATCAAATAGGGAGTCGAGACTCTATGTTGGAAAAGCGACTAGGGAGTGGAGACCCTATGTTGGAAAAGCGACTAGGGAGTGGAGACCCTATGTCTAAAATAAAATCAACTAGGGAGTGGAGACCCTATGTTGGAAAAGCGACTAGGGAGTGGAGACCCTATGTCTAAAATAAAATCAACTAGGCAGTGGAGATCCTATGTTGGAAAAGCGACTAGGAAGTGGAAACCCTACGTCTAAAATAACTTCAACTAGGGAGTGGAGACCCTATGTTGGAAAAGCGACTAGGGAATGGAGACCCTATGTCTAAAATAAAATCAACTAGGGAGTATAGACCCTATGTTGGAAAAGCGACTAGGGAATGGAGACCCTATGTCTAAAATAAAATCAACTAGGAGTGGAGACCTTATGTCTAAAATAAAATCAACTAGGGAATGGAGACCCTATGTTGGAAAAGCAAATAGGAAGTGGAGACCCTATGCCTAAAATAAAATCAACTAGAGAGTGGAGAACCTATGTTGGAAAAGTGACTAGGGAGTGGAGACCCTATGTCTACAATAAAATCAACTAGGGAGTGGAGACCCTATGTTGGAAAAG